CTTTCCCTTTTCTATTGCACCTGCTTATCCTCGTAGAACGTGTACGTCTATTTTGCCATGTATCTGTCTTGGTTTATTGAGGTTTCTTTTTTTTCCACTTTACACACTCACTAGTTCCTCCTTCCTGGTACTGCTATACGTACTTGCCAAATGATTGATCTCTTCTGATCCTTTACTGCCTGCCCAGGTAGTTTCTCTTTCGGGGAGGTCGCCTTTCCCCACGTGGATTTGAGTGATGGTTTCTGTGTCTGGTGCTTGGTTGATACTTACCTCTTGGAGCAGCTGAACTTTTTGTGCTATACAGATACTTACATAGGTGTCTAGTCTTTTTTTACAGTGAAAAGCCTGACTTTCCAGCTTTGTCTGGACCATAAAGCAGTTACTATATATTCATTTTTGCAGGGCTTTTCTTTGATGTTTGGTATGTTTTAGTTTTACATATCAGTAGAAGGAATTTTAGCTAAAATGGTAGCTAATTGGTTTTGGTGCTCTCATTAATGTTAACCTACTTTCAGAAATAGCTGTAAGTCCTCAGGGATCGATCTTAAAGGAGATTGGGTGTACAGAAGTACGGGGTTGTAACTGGTTTGTTGAATTCATAGATGTAATCTTTGGAATGTAGTCATCAGGGACATTGCCTTTAAAAACAATGTGACTGAAGATTGAATTTTGTATAAAATGTTTGGTTTATGATACAAATTTACAGTTGTTTTTTTGTGTACAAATAGAGAATGATGAACATGGATCGCTACAAAAAGGGAAAAGAAACAAAGCTAAAGAAGGACTTCGCGAAAACGTAAGGGCTACTCGGAGTGCTGGAGAGACGGATAGGAGGACAAGATCAAGCACAAGAACAAGTGCAAGAACAAGAAAATAGTGTCAACAGTCACAGAACCAGTTTTTAAATAAATTCATTAATTGAAATTTCAGGTTTTTAATGTGAATTGATTTGCACTTAGATTTTAAACTCAGATTTTGTAAAACAATCACTGAATTATATGATCAAAATGTATTTCTCAACAGTTTACAGATACAGCGTAGATAACTGTTTTAATAGGTTTGTCTATATGTGGTGGTTCCTAAACCATGGGGTGCTTGTGCAGAACTGCAAATATAAAATGAGTCTTTCTAAAACAGTATTTTTCCCCCTTTTTCTGTTGCTAGTACGGCAGTCAGGAAGCCGTACTACTTTACTGCCAGTGTAATTGTAAGCTATTTTCTTAAACTTTCGTGTGCTTCAGTCTTATTTTTCATTACAGTTCTGTAAATATTCTTTAAAAAACTATAGATGTATTAGTAGAACTATTGTGCTGAAATTTTTATAATTATTTTTTTAAAAACTTAAGTTCATTTTACTGAAAAGGGCAGATTTGTAAGACATTAAATTTGTAAACAATTTGGGACTAGTGTGTTCTATGTTCTTTAAAACTGTTAGGAATGTGTAATTACTACTGTCCTCTTAGAAGCATATTTCAGAGATTCATCCTTCCTAGCCAAGTGGCACTTGCAAGGCTACCGTGGGTTTTCTGCAGCGCAGATACTCCGGTTCTAAAGGTGGCTGCGCTGAGCAGCCCTGCCGTGCGTAAGGAGCGCTGGTAAGAGAGACGGGAGCGGCGAGCGCATGAAGTTGTGATGTTGCGCTGTTCGCTATTCGATCCATCTGAATGAAGGTTTCTGCTCAGAACTTGGCATTTCTGTTCACCTGCTGCTCAGCTTTCACGTGTACGTGCCACTGAGCCAGAAGGAGTTTTTCCTGCTGTCTGATCTGATTGCGTAAATACAGCAAACTCTCCTTCTCTTGGCTCGGCAGCCTTCGCTCTGAAATGCGGATATAAAGAGGGAATACAGTAATGCTTTGACCTCTTGATGCTTTTGAAGTAAGTACCCTTCTTCCACGTGAGCACCACAGGCTTCTGGTTTATGAGCTCACATCTGTAAATTTTCTCTCTTCTCATGTAAAGAATCAAGTGCCTGTAAGTGGTGGCTGTACCTCTCTTCTCAGTCTTCAGTATCACTCTGTGGTTATTTGAGGCAGTCATTTCTGGCCTGATGATAAATCAAAGTCCTAAGGCAGAGGCCATGGCTATCTTTCCAGAACAGCAGAAGACAGTGCTCCAGGTATTGCTCTGTGAGAAAACGGTCCATTTTTAATTGCATAATATGCAACTGTTTCTTACAATTGCAATGGGTCACACCAGCTTCTGTAACTTGGATAGTAAGCATTTGGTGGTGAAGCATCCTCCGTACCACAGGAGAAGTAAACCTTGTGCGGGGACATCGTGGTATGCTGGCACAAGAAGAATAGTAGGGAAATGTCTGCTTCTGCCATGAAGTAGAATCATAGAGTGGATTGGGTTCAAGTCACAAGAAGAATAGTAGGGAAATGTCTGCTACTGCAATGAAGTAGAATCATAGAGCAGTTTGGGTTGGTGGGGACCTTTCAAGCCCATCTAGCCCAGCCTTCAGCTGGATCAGGTTGCTCAGAGCCCTGTCCAACCTGGCCAGGAATGTCCCCAGGGATGAGGCATCGACCACCTCCCTGGGCAACCTGTGCCAGGCCCTCACCACCCTCAGCATAAAAAAATTTTTTGTGTTCGGTCCTAGTCTGAAGTCTGAGGGCCAGATCAGATGAAATGACTGTGAATCCCCCTCTGTGGCTGATGTTTCTAGCCTTCCATCCAAAATGGTCACTCAGGAATTTACTACTTTTCTCGTTTGTGCTTTCACAGGCTGCCTCGCTGTTACGCAGGTTTGGTCTGCAGGCTAGTAAGGAATACTAGGTGCCGTCTTCTCTAAGGTAGGCAGTAGAGTCTCTCCTTAAGGAGTCTACCCCTGTAGTTTCTAGAAAGAGGAGAGATCTCTAAAGTTAGATCCTGGTCTAAGACTGACTTCTTGTTTGTTGGTTTGTTTGTTTGTAATGCTAGGAACACGCATGTCCTTTGAAGAGCTGTGGAAGTCCAGGTCTGTTTCATGAGGAGATGAGCAAGATAGGATGGGATGTCCCTACTGTCAAAAAAGTTAGTCTGCAGAAGTCTTTTAGTAGGTGATGTTGTCATATCGGTTGTAGAAATGATCTTGGTAAATCAGGAACTATAGTAGGAGAATAAGATAACTGACTGAAGTATTTTATTGTATAAATAGGTTTTTAATTGTGAAAGTACTATATGCATACAGACCGATGCTTTGCTCTCTGTTCAGAACATTTCCGAAGTAGATTTACTTAGTGCTCTTTCGTGGAACTCGTATTTTACTTGAATTCATATTGACTCAAATTCTTTAAAGATATATCGTCTTGGAAACTACATTTCCACTCAAAATTTGAAATGGCAAGACTGTCTCAAATGCATCTCCAATGTTTTGTTAATGAATTTCCCAGGAAGGATTGAGACAAAGGTTTTAACTGAGGGGTTGACGAAAGAAACAAGTTTTCTCTTTCCTCTAGAAAATTTCTTTCTTATAAAATTTTCAAATGACCTTATCTCTCTGTGTTCTATAACGATGCTTCTTCATTGTCGGTAGTGTGCCAACACAAATTTAAAAAGAGAAAACAGAGTAGAAGTAGTTCATTGCTAACTTTTCCATATCATCAAAGGACAGCATTATGTATTCTTCCAAACCTAGCCCCTCTAAGCAATCCTCTTTCTTTCTGATTTTTAGTCTGGGCAGATTACTTTCTTGTAATGATATAAAGAAAAGAATGGAACATAAAATAAAGAAGTCAGGAAGCAGAGGTGGTGCTTTTATTGAAGAACTCAAAGGCAGTAGCTTTGCTGGGTGTTTGTGTTGTATCTCGGAAGGATACCATCGGTAGAAGTTAAACCTGCTTCATTGCAGTAAAGTGGGTGATCAAGAGAAAGGGAATTTTAGATTGCCGATTACCCGTCATTCTCCAGCTTCCATTGCCAGAATTTTGAATGATCAAAGCAACCATCTGCACCTTCCTACATCCCCAGTATCTATCTTATTTAAATTGTTTTTAATGGAAATGGTGAACTATTCTGGCATAACTGGTATTTAAAAATGTTTGACTTCATCATTGCATGCTGCACACTTCGTTGGTGCTAAAGATCGTTAGAATGGTCTTTCTGAATGGAGAGTGTGTGATCGCTGCGGTATAATCCATTCATTCATCCCAAACCCTCCATCAGCCTCAAGTCCCTTAAATCCTTTCTATTTTCTTGGAGTATGTAAAGAGTGATTATCAAAGTTACATATTGAAATATTTTTTTCAGTGTAGAAAGAAGTTCGGATTCTGCCTTTCTGATATATAGAGAACATTTCCTTCACAGTACGTTAATTGCTTATTTATAGTTATTTAAGTAATAGGCCAGTTATCAGAGGGGGGAAAGATTGCTTTCTGCCCAGATTCTGCCTGGAGGTGTCCAGCGACCTGCAGCATTTCTCAAGGCAGACAGGAGTACTCCCCAAACCTCTGGGAGAAGTGCTAGAACCCGCTATCGAGGTGAAGTGGGGAGTGTGTGAATCTTCAGAAGTCCTGGGAGGATTGCTTTGAGTTGATGTGTACGTGACCTTAGGGAGAAAACAGTTAAATAAGGATTTACATTCCCATGTCAACACCTCCTTCAGTGAAAGCGTTGCTCAACATTAAATACAAATTTAGATAGATTTTATCTGTGGATTCTAAGGTGTGAGCTATTGGAATATTTTAGCTGTTTGCTAGCTGAATGAAATGCACCTGAATGAAACTCGCTTTTTAGAGCTGTTACAGTACAAGTAACAGTAAATATTGTTTTCTGTTACTTCAGTTTACCAGTTTGTAAACACAATGTGTAATTAATACTCGATAGACATTTGATATCGGTGTGTTTTGGTGAGCTCATTTACTACTTTTACCATATAAATAACCGCTGTAGTATGATAGTATTCAGGTGGGCAGAGAGGGAAATGGCTTCATCTCATGAGCCTCAGTTTTGTAACCAGGGAAAATACAAAATTTAGAATTATTTTCTAGAAAGCACACAAAAACAATCTTGTGATTTGTTCTCAAGTATAGATGTGTATCTCAAATTACGTTCATCTTTCCTCAAACACTTTACTGGCAACTAGGAGTGTGTGGTTGTCATCCCATGCCATGTGTCTTTTGAATTTGCCCCTGTAGTCTATTCCTTTCAGGAAACTTGGTATTTCCAAGATAAATGCCCTCTGTGTGTTAGAAATGCTACTAAAGGCCAGAGATTTTTGCTTATTCAGGAAACTGAATGCCTTATTTAAAAACAATACAAAACAAAAACAAACCCACCCAACAGAAAACCCGTAGAGCTGTAAAACAGCTGACAAAATTCCCAAGCTACCATAGTTCTATTTCACTCTTTCTCTTTCAAATTTGTTTCTGGTAGGGTTTGTGTTTTTTCTGACAGGACTGCTTTCGATCATCTGGAAAAGAGATGAAGCCAGCTGGGCAGACTACAGAAATCAGGTAAAGCACTTGTGACTTTTTCTTTTCTCTGAAACTCCTTGGGAATCAGAAAATGAACCCCAAACAGGTGTTGGAGTCCTTAAACAATGCAAATTACAATATTTTTATTATGCCAAAATGTCGTCTAGAAAATGGGCTGTTGTTCTAAGTCTTATAATGAGTAAATATTCCAGGGAAAAACAAGGGTTCGTGAGTGGAACTTCTGGATAAAAAAATTGAAATCCAGTAAAAGTTAAAGTATAAACTATGTTAAAAGAGTTCAAAGGCACTATAATGCTCATACTTGATATGAATTGTAAAATATTCTGTGAGGAGATATTTATAACTCTACCAACTACTTTTGTTTACCTTTGGGATGT